ATATTTTGTAAACAGGAATACAAATTCGTATTGAACGAATTCAAATTAATATATTATAAATTTTGTATAGTATAATATTAATATAGTAGAGTAATTAACATTCTTTTTATTCTACAATGAAAACAGTCTTCTATTAACAGAACAATTTAGATAAAAATAAATGCTGTTATTTACAAGCAACAGAAACACTATGAAGCATTTACAAAACGTGAATGACAAAATTTCAGAAAAAATATTAACAAATAATTAAAATTAATGATTAAAATTAGACAATAACCAAAATAAAAATCGTCAAAAGCAATAAGCAGACTAAAGGCTACGCGTATTGGTCAGTGCCGTTTGCATAAAATTCGGTAGTTAATAATTATTCGATTAAATATTGGGTTATTTAAAAGGTAATATTGGAATGTATAGCATAAGAAATAGATGTGTTAATGGTTCTTAGTCGAAATACGTCTGCTTTATGATCGCAAATACAAAAAATTCTATTTCGAAACTATTTAAACTATTTCTGCATCATTCATGCAAATTATAAATCATTCTAACTATTTATATCATATTTTTACGTTTATAAAACTTAGAAAATACAATTGACATGTAACTTACGTGTATATTTTGTGTGTACGTGTATATCTTATTAAAATTTACACGATATAGATTATAGATTCTAATAGTATTTAATTACTATATTTTTCATTGTTGTATTTAATTACTGCACTATTTATTTATTAGGATAATATTTAACTGCTGAATCGAGTGCTATTTTAAGACCCTTACGAAACGAAATTTTTTTGAGAAACGCAACAGCTTTTCGAACGACCCATCAATGCAAGATCATCTTTCGTGCAAAATGCAACCGAAACAGTCTTTTACAAAATTGCTCGACATCATATTTACCAGCTGCCGCGACATAATCGTGAGTGAAACTGTATGTGGGTCAGTCGTTCGATTAATCGTGAGCGAAACTCTATGTGGGTCAGTCTGTTAACATGTGAACACGATTGAACATTAAACAATGATAATTTAGCTACATACCTGAATCGTAAGAGTGATTGGCGCGCAACACTCCGTTTGACCGTATCCTTCAACTATCAGGCACCCAAGGGCACACCTTGCAAATGTGAGCACATTTCCCGCGAGGGGTGCAGAGCCCACGACCATCAGTCTTAACCTTCCACCTGTCGTCTCTTTGATCTTCCCAAAGGCTAGCTTGTCCCAAATACTGTTGTTTCGGATGATGCCCTTCTTGATCTCAGACTCTTTAGCTCGCATCCCCATGCTGAACACCAGCTTCTTCATACAAGAGTTCTGAAGCTCGGCTTGGACCTGGAAATATCGATTGATCACTATGAACAATTTGAAAATTCGTGAACTAATCTTGAAAATTAATGGAATAACGGCTTGAAAATTTATAAAATGATTTTAAAAATTTATGAAATAATCTCGAAAATTAACGAAATGAAAACTTGAAAATTAATAGAATAGAAGCTCTTCAAAATTCATGAAATAAAAGTCTTATATCGCTCTTTTTATAGATCACAGACCTACAAAAGCAATGTTTTGTTTTGGTGCAAGTTTATACCGGATGTTAGTAAAGTAAGAGGAATATTTGACCATTTATTAATAGCTATCCATTAGCTGTAGTTTATGTGCTATCCTGGTGGATGTAAAATATGTTTACCATTCAGATTTGTTTAAATGTTTATGCCGGCTAGCAAATTTAGACATTGTTTGAACCTTGGTCTGCGACTCTATTGGAAATAAGCTACATCATGTTTCAAACTTATTTTCACGCTACTAAATTCTAATAAAACTAATTATAACTATATACTAATTAAAAAATTCTATACTAATTAAAATTCTTTAAAAATAATTGTATTTAAAACATCGTTAAAAATGTAAACTTTGTACTGGCTAAATACCTCAATGTTATAGGCTTAACATGGAATAAAAATCATGTAAAATTCAAACACTGTAGGTAAAAAAAATGCCTTTATTCTGGAGTTAAAATAGCGTCGATTTCATCACCAAATTACTCAATTATCGACGAATAAATTAAATAAGCTACAATTACACTAGGAACAACAGAACTGTGTGGCCTGCAAGAAGTATTTCTAAAAATATAATTTGAGAAATTAATGAATAAAGCTGAGAATGGTCGCAAACATCAATTGTATTGATGTGAATATGGTCCATCAGCCGAGATATACAGGGTGCCCCAAAAGGTAGGTACTTGATTCCGTGGAAGGTGTGATTCCTGAGATTATTTGAAGTAACTCTGCTATCGTCAGCCACAATACCGATGCATTTCGCTATAATACGCTATAATAAACCGTCAAATAACACCAGAAACTATTATAGTATTTTGGTTACTTTAACACTAGGTTCATGAGACCCACGAAAATGAAGGATTGCAAAATTTCTCGCGAGACGACCGAGCCAATGAGCGGAACTGGGAAAGAAATGTCTATGTAGCTTCTGTATCTTGTAAATAATGCAGACAATTTTTATTTTGCATAAAAATCCGCAGTTTAATTATTAGGTCGTCCCATAAGGGTTCTTAAGGTCGTTAGAAGTAACTTTTCACTTTGCGAAAATGTTCTCCATAGCTTCAGTAACGAGTTATTAACGAAACACACTGACCAATGAGAGGCGAGCTCGATTGCCGCGAGGCGGTCGAGCCAATGGGTGGAACTGGGCTTCGTCCGCTTGTTGGCTTAGCCGCTTCGCGCCAGTCGAGCTCGTCTCTCATTGGTCAGTGTTTTTCGTTAATATCTCGTAAACAAAGCCGCGTAGAACATTGCCGTTAACGAAAAAGTTACTTCAAATGACCTCAGGAACCCCTCATTTCCCGATTTCGAGTGATATCTGGGACACGCTGTACAAAGCCAAAGATAAAGAAATAGTATGAGTAGTCCGAATGTTAATCAGAGTACTCTTAATAATTTCGCCAGGTCTCGGCTTCTACCCGGAAGCCTCAACAGTAAGAACTGTATGGTGCTTTGCAGTGAAGCCTCAAATCTCTGACTCGGCTCTCCAAAACTGATATCATAACTGTTTTCACTTTCTGCCGGGAACTTCCGTCGTCGTGAGCCACTGTATATTTTCGCAGAGAAGATGATTGGCAAAGCAGCGTATAATTGTCGGTCCGTTTGAAGAATCGACTCGGCATTGCGTCGGTTGGACGCTTAGCAGTCCCGCGGAAAGTAAGTGGGCACCAACCACTCGACCACGCGCGCATCTGGAGCTAATGGATGATACGGTCTTTGGACGAAATCGGCTCCGACAGTTTTGTAACCAGAGAAATTTGCTTGAGCAGCGGCACTGTTCCTTTTGGTCTGCTGATCGGTCACGAGGAAAATTGGTATCCCATGTGCAATCGCCGTTTTGACCGAGAGCTATTTTCGCTTGTGCATTGTGCGTGACTTAAATTAACTTCATGGATTTTGTGGAATGACTTCCTTGAAGAAGATGAACAGCTGCTGGTGTCCGAGCCCGGCAATTACGGATTTCTCTGACACTCTCTTCGAATCAATGTTGTGTTCCAGGAGATTAATGATGATGAAGTAGACTGCGGGACTTTATGCAAAATGAAAATTGTCCAAGACGATATTGTAAGGAACCGAAATTAAATAAAGATATATTATTTCTTTTAATAATAATATTGATAAGTTGAAAATAGTGTACCAATATTATTTCATTCTTCTTACGTCTTTGTAATCATATTTCAGCAAATGATTTTTGCCATAAATGTGTGAAATCTGCTGACTGATGATTCGTTGTGGATCCCTGTACAATCTCATATTTCTTCAGTTCATTTGTTAGTAATCGAGTCGGTTGCACAATTTGTTTCTTCGAGCAGAAGATTCGTCGTTGCAAGCCGAAAACGAACGAGGCTATTCAGTTTAGGTGAAACAAATGTTTTCTAGTGTTTAATAAATTTGCACGTGTTATAAATGCGTTAATAATTATGGTGAATTATAAACGATTTACAAAATATTGTTTCGCAGGTAAATGTATTGCATGTAGTTTTTTGTCGATTTTTTTAGGTAGCACAGGAACGTACATAATTTTATGGACGTTGCAATTAATTTCAACATCAAATCAGAATTTCGCGCCTCAGCTGCTAGGAATGGGAGTTGCATAAACATTTGAACGCAATTTGAATAATTTTAATCACTTGTAAATAATATTTATATTATCTTATTACTTGCTTATGATCAAATTGTTAATTGTTTCAAATAATGACACTGTTTTGTGTTTCATCTAATTGTTTTTATAATAAATGCACAAAATCCGCAGTCTGATCATTAATTTTAACTAATTGCAAGTATTCTCTTGTTTCATGTTATGTAAGTTCAGTTTGGAATATTTGTTTACGGATTAAGCGATGATAAACGGTCGATTGGAATGAAATCATGTGATCTGTACATATTTATTTGTGTTGGAATTATTTAAACGTGGAGCATTTAAGTAATAAATTTATCGAAAGTACTATTCAAGTTTCTATAAAATTTTATCAAATGTGCGCAAATGTTATCGAATTTTATTACTGAATTATCGGTGACTCCAATGTATCTATGAATCAAATTGTGTCAGAGTATGTTGAGTCATCGTCGGCTGTTGCTCTAACATCTCAATGATGTTGCATTCGTTTATAGCTGCAGATAAAATCACGCCATGAGGTAATTTTAGCGGATATTTATGTGTGGCGTGTCCAGGAAGTCTCTTCGGAATTTAATCACGTTTTCCCACAGGAATTTCTTATTCGTCTGTCGTCTTTGCCATTTCAAATCATGAATTTATAACCAAAAATATGTACTGGAACTTGTTTTACGATGAGCTGTATTGAAATAAAATTTATACTTAAAATGTTTAACCCACACACATATTCTAATATAAATTTAAACGTTTAGTATTCAAATCAAAATTGAATCCTGCTCGAAACAATAAAACTAGGGATCTTGTCTGTAATTATACTTGTTAAATAATTTAAATAATTACTTCATGCGCACTGCATCCAGACGAATTCTATAAATTATAGTTTAATTGTCAACAATTAAATATTATTTTTCGTAATTTGTATCGCACTTGTCTTTTATTACTATCTGTAAAGTAATACTATTTTGAAATAATTTAAACAATTACTTCATGGAACTGTATATAGTTATAAATAAGTTTATATATATTATAAATAAGCTGTATATAGTTATAAACTTAGTAATATAGTTTAAGTAAATAAATATAGTTTATAAGTGCTGTTAAAATAACTGCTGCTGTAACTGCTGTTAATTTGATATTATTTTTCAATCATTTCTATCGCATGCAATCTTGACTAGTCTGATTTATTATGTGTAGGAAGAGAACGAAGAGAATACAGAGGTATGTAAGTACGCATGTTAATGTGATAAATTTGATGCTTAGATTTGTTTTATGTACACAATGCATTCCATTCATTCGAGATTTCAGGGTTACGACGGCAAGCATTTCGCATCCACCTGTTTCGCCGTGTTTGTTCTGCATTCTCAATTAACGATTGCCAGACACCACATTGCGTTCTACTGATTTCATTTATAGAGCTCGTTAGAAGCATACTTGCAACTCGTGCACTACTAGGAT